CTAACTTTGTTTCTAACTTTGCAGACAATTGTTGACTTTGAGTGTCATTTGTCGGGAAAGACATTAGAGAACTATGCTAATTTTGTAAAGGTCAAACTCCAAATGCCCATAAGACTCTTTTGACTTCACTAAAATTTGTTATCTCTATTTTACCTTGTGCAAGTCATCATGTGACTCCTTGACAATGACTGAGAATATTAATATTTCATTAACACACTCACCACAATTTTTTGCCCAAAAGTCTTATCACTCTGACGCCCTGTCAAACTTGTTTCCTCTGAGTCATGTTTAAAAGAAGAGAACATTCCCAGAAATTGTCAGAGACTGTCATCCTTAATGCAAATAGACATTTCATCCACATTCCTCTAAATACTTCTCATGCTGGCTGAGATCAAATTATTATACTGAGCTCTTAATAATTACTTTTGAAAAAAAAAAATATACAAAAGAAATAAGCATGACGGTACAAGCTGTAAAAGAGCTAGTTTGAGATGAGGTCATGAATAATAACCATGGGAACCGTCTTATACACGCATCAGAACTAGTAAGGCTTGCTTGATTATATCCTTAAGAAAACAGATTAAATCTCAATATACGTTAACACTGAGAGAAATGGCCCACTGTATATGACCAGTGAAGCTTAAAAGGCCAGTTTGGACAAATCTGTCTGTTAGACAGATTACAGATTATCTTTTGTGAAAGCCTGAGGCGTCATTCCTTCACACACAGTGTGATCTATGTGAATGTTAGTATATAAACGTTTAGGCAAAACTGAGATACTACATTTTCAAGTTTTTCGAAGTTGGGAGATAGGCTATCAGTCTTTGTCAAACATCTCCTTGCACCCATTATCGTTCATAACAAGAAGTAAACAAAGGTGGGAGTCAGTGGTCTCACTTGTGGCCTTGATACGATATTCAAAGCAAATTATATCTGAAAATTCCATACACATCTCATGTGGTCATGAAGGATGTGATAAAATCTGTTTTGTACATTTAGTACTAAATTCATTTACTCAGTCTGTACCAAGAAATACAATTTGTTTGTGACTTTGCAATTTGTTTGTAGCAGGATAGGCAGTATTTATACAGCCGGTCAGGCTGACGGAGATGTGTGCTCAGTAATTGCTTTGTTTAGTGAAGCGGGAGCCATGTTAATCCTCATTCAGAGTTTAACGTAAACTTCTCGAGAAGACTTATTTCCATACGAATGCAAGCAGGCTAGAGGTGGAAGGTCTCTTTCTCTCTATTTTAGCCCTCCCCATTCTCTCACTCTTTAGCATCTCTCGAATGCCAGTGTGTGTGTGTGTGTGTCAGTATGTGTGTGAGTGGGATTTTTTTTACATGTGTAAAAGATCGCCTTTAAGAGGTCACTTCACTGGTCCCTCACTTTGAAAACCTTCTCAGTGAGGGTAATTTGCTAGGCAAATATGTCAATCATGAGCCGAGGGTCAAATGCCTCTAGCGCCCGTGACAGTCTAACCAGTGGTTTGCACCCTTTTTGTGAAGTGCTATCCAGTCATCAAACATTTCCTAACATGACTATGAGATGATTTCATCTACATTTTCTTTTTATTCTAGAACTGGATGTTTTGACCATACAATTACATTAAGTATATGTTGTTGAAGGCATGAGAGGACTTGCTCTCTCAAGATACCCCACAGGGAAGTTAGGGTAACAGGTGTCTTGGCCGATTTACTAGTATTTCATCTCTCAAAGCAAGTGTTGATCACCATATCTTAAGTAGTTTGATGTCATTTTACAGTTTTAAATTCCACCTAAACTTTGGAACTCTGTCAGTATTTCCTCCCTATTTACATTCAAAATATCATGCTGGTTCTAACTAACTATATATACAATATACAGTAATATTGTGAAACATTATTACAACTTGAAACATCAATTTTATGTTAAAATGTTATTTATTTTCTGTAATGGCAAGGCCACAAATTTTCAGCATCATTACTCCAGTCTTCAGTGTTACATGATTCTTCAGAAATCATTCTAATATGCTGATTTTGTGCTGAAGAAACATGTTATATTATTATCAACATTGAAAACAAAGTTTTTACAGCAATGTAAAATTCTTTATGGTTACTTTTAATCAAATAATAACCAAATATATTAATATTATTGATGATATGAGAACTAACATGGTTTCTACTGTGGGTAATTGTTTCTTATTTAAGGCTACTGTCACACACACAAGACCACACATGCTCTTGCATGACCCTTTTCCTTATTTGTTGGTTAATTAATTGTCTCAGCTGTCAACTGTGAAACAAAGACGCTTTAAAACCAATCCTTATCTCAGTCATAGCACGTTTCCCTTCTTAATTACTGAAACACGGGCCCTCCATTTGGTTTTAATTATATGGGTCTTTTTTGACGTTGAAATATCTGCTCAAAAATAGTCCTTCTGCATTATTTATATACGTATGTGAAGATTTAGATTTTTCAATCATTTTATTCTTTGTATACATTAAACACAAAATGCAGTGATATTGTATTTTCCTATCTATATAATTTATTACAAACAAACCAATGAGGATGCCAATGAATGCTGGAGAGTGCAAGATTAGGCCTACCCCCCGTGACCATCTTATCCTCATCGATCTACCCTACTCAACACAGCCGTTCTTTGAAACGTAAGGGACACCGCAAATTCCAGCATTAACAGGGTCCAGCGCTTCCCAAAGCAGCAGCTCCCGTCACAGGACTCCCACACCCATTGTTTCCCAGTTCCGGCAAGAGAAATTCCCAGTGTGGGAACAAGCTGTGCACACATGAGCAGACAAGCAAAAGTGTTATACAGTGGTGGGTCACTGTGCCATGAGGACCCTCATAAATTCCTATGGTGGAGCCTTCCTTTTCAGGCCACAGACTGAGTGCTCATAGTTGGTGCATGGCAATGAAGTCAGTGGACCCGTATTTGGACCAGGTGTAATACAAAACTGTGCTAAAAGTGCTTCTCAAGACAACCACTACAGCTACAAATTACAATGAAAATTAAGATAAAGTTATGTGGCTTTTATTTCATCCATAGTTTGAAGCAAACATATGCGAGTATTCTTCTAAACATTGACAAAACTCTCTTTTTCACATTTAAAATACGGTACACAATTTACTTCTCATACACAGACTTTTGTCCAATCAAATACTCTCAAGAATGGAAATGTCCCACCCTCAATTCCACCTGCAAACTAAGCACATCATGATTCATGGCTGTGATGTAACTAAAGCATATTGGTTCATCAAGTGTCAATTAATTTCATGTTTCTTTCTTTCTTTTTTATTTAAATTAATCAGTTTAATGTGCATTCAAAAATGACTGAAAAAAAGAAACAAATAATGTCAGACAAAACCCTCAGATCAGCTGTAATTGATAAAAATCAGTAATTTATTATAATGAAGGCATTAAATAAACGCAAAACTGCTTTAAATGGAGTTATGGAGCAGAGAGTTTAAATAAGGACACAGATTCCAGATTACTTGGTATGTGTGGGCCGGATGAGGGAAAAATGGAGAAGGATGTAAATGGTCATGTAGAACAAAAGCATGGAACTTATAGTCAGCTTCTGAAACTCTTTTTGAGACTAAATCTATGTCAAAAGTCCCACTGCGGACTTCTAAATAAGATTATATCAGTTGTGGCTAAACATTTAAAGCAGCACCAGACGCCTGGCTGACGACATTATAACTTCTCCCATGAAGTAATCTGTTTAGTAACGTCAAAGCAAAAGTAACTCATGTTAATCCTTATAAAACTAGTCTGAACTTTGACCTTTTAGAATTAGACCAGTCAAAGCAGTCAGGGAAGCAGAATGAGACAGTTCCTAAGCAAAGAGAAGTCAAATAAGTTGGCAAAGTTGCTGGCCACTGCCAAGTATGACTGACAAGCCTTTTGTTTGCTTCAAATTTGTGATAACAAGTTCTGCAAGTAATTTGCATTGATTTGGAAATAGGCTACTACGTCTTCTGCTTATGGAATTGTTTGGCTTTAACAACAACAACAACCATATTTGTATTGTCACCAGTCATTTGGTACAATCATTTATCGTTAAAATGTTTATTTAATAGAAAACAAAAGCAGAACTTTTATCTCAATTGCCCTGGAAAGCATTTGGCCAGCAATTTAAATGTGAATTGTCAGGTATTTTCACATTGAAGTATTCAATAGTGTCATGGCTAATTAGGTTATCATTCACAAATCCTTAGCCCCTGAGCCTATTCAAACTAGACCTTTAGTCTTAACACTGAATGCATTTGACAGTGCATGTTTAGCCTGCTACTTAAAGTAGTATTTGAGAAGATCACAAAATTAAATGCAACCATTTGACAGCGGTGAATGGAACACAATGACTCAAGTGGGACTTGCATTCCACAGCATTAGAAGAGCACTCAGTGAACTTGAGGACTAAGACCCCCTATGGAGAAAAACCCTCCAAGAGAATTACTAAGTAGGGTGAATTCAGGTAAATTGTTCCACTTTTTGACAGTCATCCCATTTACCCAGCCCAAATCAAGGTGGCCTAATTAACCATAATTCACCATACACATGTGTTGTTTTATTATTATTATACTCTTACTTTGTTGTTTTTAATAACATTTTTGAACTTAGTTTAAATTGAGCATGCTGAAAAAACACTTTTTATTGTCAGTATGGTAAATAGCCGACTAAATTTGTAAAACATTTTAATTTAAGGTTATGTCTTAATATAATAGCAAGCAGTCACATATACTTTTATGATAGGCTACTTTTATCGTGTTTTTTCGTTAATTTTTGAAGCTTGTCCATGCTCATTGTAGTAGGCCTATAAAAAGCTATAGCCTACTTGCATATTCTTCAAAAAAATATGAGATGAATGGGTAAGTAAAAACAGTTTTCATGTTGGAACGAACCACTGCCCTTTCACCTTACACAAAAAACGGCAACTGCATGGTTCATTCAGCGCGCTCGTGCGTGAATTGCTCACAATGACTTTGACGTGCTGTAGTCGACACCTGATAAAAGCGCGCGTGCCATGACTGATATTCCTCTCTTGATGTCTCGGAATGTGTCTAACAGCGACCGAAGAGGCAGGCTGGGGGAAAACGAAGAGGGGGAGGAGAAGGAGTCAAAGGAACAGCGTGAAATTGCATAAAACATGCCATAGAGCGCTGAGCGCACTTCCACACTGATCTCTCTCCGCACGGAGTGGATGTTCACAGGCGCTTGTGAAGGGACGAGCTCAAAGTGCATTCCATGGACCAGTGTCGAAGTGTCTTCTTAAAATGTTGGATGTATACATGGGTATTATTTTAGTTTAAGGACAGAATTTTCTAGAAACCTTCTGCTGGAAGCTGCAAAAGAGGAACTTTCAACAGACTCTGCTCAGACTTCAGAGAATTTTTTATCTAAAATGCACTTATTTGGAATTTCTGTCTTCTGTCTCGCATTGTTTTATGCAAACCTTGCTTTGGAGTCAAGTCACGACTACTATGATTATGACCAAGATCAAGGAGATGCCATGGTAAGCACTGGCAAGATCATTTTCAAGTTTTATGTTTTAAAAGTGGAGAAATTAGTTTGATGCATCATTTATTATTAGTTATGATTTGTTGCCCTAAACTCAGCATGAAGTTATTTTCAAACTTAGTTGTACTGCTTGGAGCTTTGAGATGCAACATATCAAGAGCCAACATGACTGGCACTGGTGACTATGCTTGTGTTTAGCCCAGATTAGCTTTAGTTTATAATCCTGATTCATTTATTAGGGTCTTCTTGCATAAACACTTGAATGGAACTTATATAAAATCCAAAAATGTATTTGCTATATATCTTAAGCTTGGACAGATCATTAAAAGCCATTTATTTTATTTTATACCATTTAGGGGAATGTGACATTTAAACAACATTTGACCTTACTGTTCTCTGTTTATTTATTTGTGTTTTTGTTTTTATTTATTACAATATAAATTCAACAAATTATTAAAAGCACCCAGTACCTCTGGAATATTTACCATTTTCATGTAGCCTGTTTATCATATGGACGTCACTTTAAGAGAACTTCATTCACACATCTATGGTTTATAAGAGAAATAATTTGAGAGCACAGTTATATTGCCATAAGAAGTGGAAGCAGGTGACATTGGGTCAGCAACTTGAGAAGTAGTCTCGCTATCTCTCTCATTCTTCTGTCTCCCCACTGAGAAAGAAAGAAGAGAGAAAGTGTTTCTTTGATCATGTATATGATGATAAATATACTCAATGGGTGCAATTAATTTCATTATATCTTCTTACCTCAGGAGCTCCAATGTGACCTGTCTGAAAACAAGAGATGTCTGTTAATTCTTTGGCTCACACACCCAGCCACAATATGTTTTAAATTACACTATTATACATGATTAAGACACAACATTCTATCATTTCGTATACAGCAGCAGAAGAATTTTACTATGTGCAGTGTATAAATGATAGCTACCATATGCTACGCGCAACAATGTGGACATCTTGACAAGGTCTTGAAATGCTTCTCATTGGTAATGTGCGACATGGGCCGTACGGTACACTTATCATGAGTGCCTAAATTTAGACTTGCTTTGTTTTCACTCCTCTCTCTCTCTTAAACTCCTTTGGGTCGCTGTGAAATTCGATGGTTATTAAGAGTCATTTAGCTGGAATTCACTGAGAGTAGCAAAAGCCAAACGTAAGTACAACAGCAACAACATAAAAAGCTGCTGAATTTCTAATGGTTTATTTTCAGTCCACTTGGGGGATATTTGTCTTGCACTTATGCCACGAAATTGAATAATTGTTCCATAATTGCACATGTGGCTGTACGCTATGTGAATGTATGGGATGGTTGACTCAATAATTCATTGGGCATCAGTCAGCGCTCGGCTAATATACGGACCTTATTTCTCTCCCTTGGACTTTTCTGTCATGGCCATCTCTCATATGTTTGGCAAAGCTGTCCTGTAAATCATGAGTGATTGTGATTGTAAATCATGCGGATTGTACATGTTAAGAGAGTTATTGTCTAGTAGGACTATCTTTCTGAAGGGGTCACCTGGGAAATGTGGGTGCTTGGTGAGTACACATGAGGTGCTGGGACCCCCTGATTTGTAGTCTTAAAGGCTCAGCTGCAGTCTTGACCTCATTCATTGGGACTGACGAATGGTTGTGTCATATGGCTTTACAAAAACTCCATCATTTTAACTGGGATGTTGACTGCTTTGGGAATATTTTGTATTATGATCCGCTCTGTTGCAAGTCTCATGAGACTCTCTGGTTTAAGTAAGCATTATATTTCAGCCACTATGAGTGTGTCTCATGGCTAGTAATCAATGCCCGAGAATAAACCACCCATGATAAAGGACCTTCAGCTAGTAGTAAAAGAGCTTTTTTCTCCCTCTTTTAAACCATGCTTGTTTATTTCTGCTCTTTGGTGATAACCAAGGGATTCCCCAGGGATGTCTTCTCCAGTGTGAGTGTGTGGTACATGTGTACTTCCCAGGTAGGAAAGTTAGCACAGGTGGAACCGATTATTCACTTCTGCCTCTTGTCTTCGCCACTCTAATAGCCAATCCACCTGCCAGATCGGCTCATCCTTTAACTTCAGATTTAGCACAACCACCTTTCAACACTTTAACAACTTTAGAGGAGCCTTTTTTAGTGTGTGTGTGGGGGGGGGGGGGTTGGCGGAGGGAGAGTCAGACGTTGTGATGACATAAGCAAGAAGACTTCACGTCTTTGGGGAGGTCAGCAATTCAACCATTCTTTGAATTAGGCAACTTCTGCAAATGGGGTGTTTCAGCTGTTACTTCTAAGAACCTATTTTCATAATTGTGCAATGATGTAGTAAAGGAATGACATGTTTGAAAGGCTTTAAAGTGTTTTTTGGGGGAGTGTATCAAATGTTCATGGAGGAAAATGGAGTAGGTGATATGAAGTGATGTTTAGTTCAGTTTAGTTTAGTGATGTTAGTGGTTAGTTCTTGGTTCTCTTTAAGGCTGCAGTGGCAACAGTTACACATCTATATAAAAGGGTTATTTTTTTATTTTGATTGCATCATTTTAGTTTTTTTTTTTCAATATTATTTAGACTTTTCATCTCTTAAACAGCTCCACAAAAAAAAAAAAATATGACTAGCAAACTTTGCTTGTTTTATGCTACTTGTTGTCTAATTGGTTTGAGTAGACTTGAGAGATGTTGACTCACTTGACTGAAAATATGAACGTCTTTTTCTATTTTATTGTACTTTTTTTATTTTTTAGTGCACATTTTAAGTATTAGTTTAGTTTTCAGTCTTTAGGCAACCATTTTTTCGGGTTTCTTCTGGTTTACGTAATAGTTTTCAATAACGATAATCTTGGTATAGAGCCAATCAAAAATGTCTCTCTTCAGTCAGTCAGTCAGTCAGTCAGTCAGTCACATGGACAAACACAGAAAAAAAAAAAAAAGAATTAAGCTACTTTTTGGTTTGGACATCTGTAAAAATCACTCTCTTATCTGTAGTGATTGCATTTTCAATTTGAGTTGTAGCTGTCTCCTTCTTTTTGCGCTGTCTATAAACTGGCTGTGGATCTCAGTCCCCTTCAGCAGAGGAATTTAGCCCTGACTGTGGCCCAGCAGTGTGCCTGAAGCAGCTGGGGGACTGAGATTTTCTGGGGGTTTTTGCACTTTTTTCAGATCGAAGACCGCTTTTGCAATTTCCTCTGCAAGGAGAAGCACTGGAATGTGTTACAGCAGAAAAATCCACATCACTAAAAAAATTATCTTTTCTTTTTTTACCTGCCTTCTTCTAGGAACCTTATTATAGCCAGTGTGTGGACCACTCTGGGAGTGTAAACTGTTAGTATTGAGTAGTATGGAGTAAGAAAAGTATGGAGACTAGACCCTTGGTAGTAGACTAAGGCAGCATTTCCCTACTTTTTTTGTCTTATGTACCCACAGAGCCCCATCAGTAAGCCTTAAGTACTCCTTTATAGACAATACATCAGAAATGTTTCTTTTTACACATTATACAGAATATCATTTAACATTGTTGTAAAATTGGTCACCTTTACTGTGATTAGTTTGAGCTAAAAACAGTAGATAATGTAGGTTAAAAAAAACCTTGCCATTCGTTTCCCTTTACGACTGAGCTTGTCTGACTGTTCAGTGAGCAATCATGCAGAAACTTTCCCTATTAGACAAAATGACATATTTATTTATAAATCAAATTTAGATGTGAAATTTGACAAACATAAAGTCATTAATCCTCTTTGGAATACCATAGAAGCAGGACATTTTAACAAACGAGTGGATATGCAATCATTTGTAAAGATCTTAATGAGAAGTCATGACTTGCAGTGTAGCAAAGACTTACAGATTAACAAAGACTTACAGAGACTTACAAAAGGAAATGGAAATATTTCTAAACCCCGAATCACTGCTCTAAAGGATAAAACTGGTTTGTGTAGTGACCCGTTCATTTAGTCAGAGTGAGACTGCGAAAGGTACAGGTAGTGCACATGTAGGCTGAGGCCAGAATTATCATCATAAAAAAAAAAAAAGTGTGTTGCTCTGGAGACCTGGGCAGTGTCCAAAATCACCCCCCTATACCCTCATTTATTATTCCCTACATTAGTTTACTAATATATTTCACTTGAGGGAGTGAATGAAAACTTGTGAGTGAATTCGGACACTGAGTGCGGTGGAATGGACTGCCGCTTTTGGATAGTTTTTGCTTGCTGTTTAATCATTATTTGAAACTTAGCAAACTGGCAGCTCCAGTAGTAAGATGAAAAGATTCATCTTGCACTCTGTCATGGAAACTAATATATGTAATGGTGGGGTGTACCCAGGAACAGGCTGAAGACTCAGAAGATGAAATCCAAACAACACTTTAATAATAACACTCAAGAATCAGGTAACAAGCAGGAAAACGCACGTTAACACGACAGTGTAGGTATTACGGTGACTGGACAAGGAGTGCAGGAGATGGAACAACTTAAGTAGTGAACACAACGAAGATAATTACTAAACACAGCTGACGCACATGAACTAATAATGACGGTAACCAAGGAGACGGATGAGTAGCGGGAAACTGAACAGAGAAACATGTGACAGATGAAAACACACTGAAAGTCCATGAACAAAACTAAACTAAACTGAACTTGACAGTATAAATCTTAATTAAACGATTTAATATCCAATTAAAAGGGAATTTGAACCTGTATGATATTACGCTGTAGCCACATTGGACCAGCGGTTTGGAAAGTGGATGGATGATTCAGATGTGGGTGACATCTGGTCAGATGTAGGAATTAATTCAGTGCGCAACTCTCACAGTATGATGTTTTATTAACAAAGTTCGAGAGGAGCACGTTCAGTTAATTAACACGAGTGGAGTGCACTCAGCAATCAATGATAAGAGGTGTATATATAGATTCAGCAATCTCACCTCACTCCATTGATAGTTTAGCAGCATCCCTCCACCGCCCCTTCTCCACACTTCCAGTCCTAAACACTTACAGAGGGGGGAGT